TTCAACAGTTTCTCAAAACTGAATCTTTTCATCAATAAATATACACCACCATCAAGTGATTACTGAAGCATGAATTAATACACTTTCTAAGTTTGACCTATAATAACCTGTTATGATGAATATAAGAACATTCTTTAAGATGCATTTATTAGAAAATTTAAAAAAAACACAGCATTTGTTGAAATGATACGAGCTTCCTCTTAGAGAGATGATGCAGTTTCATTACGTGCACGGAGACCAAACGGGTGCATACAGTCTATAATTGTGCATCGATTGAAGGATATAAATATGAACACCCTCAACTCTCTCACAGTGAAGTTTCCTGAATAGTCCCCGCTGTGTTCACACATCAGCTCACCACAACAAAAATTCCTGCTAAAGTCTTGGTGAAAATGTTGTTTACATGTGTTAAGCACATTTTATTCAAAGGTCTTGTGAGGAATTTACAGTTTGTTGATTTTGGTGCCCCTTGCAGTCAAATCGGTACGTCTTAGCTATTTGCTGATTTGTCCTCAAGCGGCAACCTCCGGTCTTGAAAAATGAAGGAAGTGCAAAATCCTGCAGTTCATCGAGTGTCCGCTTGAGCCTGGCTCCAGGAACAACGGAAGTCACATACACATGACTGGCAAAAAAGCCATTTGTACAGCAGAAATAAACATGTTTACAGCCTGGTACAAATAAACGATTAGTTATTGTCATCACAGGAACACACTGTACGGGGGGTAATTATTTTTAAAACGGCTCTGTAATGTATGTAATGTAACGGGTTGTCAAGAGGCTGAAAACCCGCCTCAGCTAAAGCTCTCAGCCTGTCATTTGGTTGACTGAAAGTTCGGCTGAGGCAGGATTTCCAGGATGGCGGCGGCTGCTAACGATCCTCTGGAGCCCCCTGCAGTAACAGATGGCTGACGTCACTCAGGATTCGTTCATTAATATTTACAGTCTATGATCGTTGTTACGTGCCGTAGTGTTGTGTGTGTGTGTGTGTGTGTGTGTGTGTGTGTGTGTGTGTGTGGTTTTGTGTTTTCTCTTTTGTGTGTGCTCCCCAGGTGTTGTTCCTCAGCCTGAGTGTGCCCAGCCACACCTGTGGCTAATTACCAATCAGGAGCCAGACTATAAAGAGCAGGAGAGAGAGGAGGCAGCATGGCCAGTGGGTCATTTTGGCTGCGTGTGTGGTTGATGCCTGATGTCAAGCCAACTTAGTGTGAGCCTTCTGTGGAAAGAGGGATTTTGACTGAGGCCTTATTGTTAGAATTTGTCCTGTTAGTTGTCAACTTATTGTTTAAGATAGATTGGCTTCTCATTTGTTTTGAAAGAAGCTTGTTTTGTGTTTCACATTTTGCTTTAGTTTGTTAATGAATTCATTTTAACTTTGCTTATATTTAGTTCTTATTTATTTTCCTGGGTTTTAATTTATTGTTACTCCACTCATCCCTTAACCATCTCAGGGAACATAACATCGTCCTTGACCATCCAGCTTTAGGTCAAATGTATCAGTCTTAAGTGCATAAATGCTGCAAAAAATATTTTTTCAAAAAAGCTGATCTGCAGCATGTTGTTTTCGCTTTTCATATGACACCCATCCCCCAGCAGCTATTTCAGGCATCAATGTGACAAAGTAGAAATACTCAGTCTTAATACTGATAGTCTCTTTCACTTTTAGTCACATGAAGAGGCTTCAGTATTAATGTCCATAACCAGCTCAAAACTCCTCAGGAGCTTTAATGCAATCTCCTGTACCATCAATACAACTCATTGTTGTTTTAAAGTATTTCAACCCAAAAAATGCAAAAAAAAATTTGTTTTCAAAATAATAAAAAGGAATAGGCACTACAGTAGCTGACTGTAGGAAACCCCCTGTTAATACATTGACCTCTGAAACCAGGAAAAGAAACTTGATAGCCGCCAACATCACAAGATTCACTATCAAGGCTTTGTGTTTCTTTGCGCAGAGAGCTGTTTCTGACTTCCTGACATATTCAGCTTTTCTGTCTCATACCTCTCTTCTGCGTACACCGATGAGTCCTGTGCTGTTTGAGCAAACTTGTGGTTGGTGTTTTGATCCTTTTCTCCGTTTCCTCAACCACACAGCCAGGACCAAGATGGTAATCATAACGACACCCCCGACTGTACAGAACAGCACTGTGCCTGACCGGAAACAAGAACTGTTATATAATGTATATTCACAGTTGTTTCCAGCTTATATCAATGTACCAACTCTACATTCTTAAAATCACCTGTGCTGCTGTTTTGTTCTCCTCCAGTAGTGCAGTTAGAGGCTGTAACATCGAATGAATATTTAATTGTATTCATACTTGAAAGGATTAGTATATCGTGACTTCTTCTTCCATACCTGTTGAAATGTTCATGTCTATTCCAGATGTTTGTTGTGTTGAATTGTAAGTAGTCTGATACGTGTTGAAAAGTCCAGGTTTGACGGTTGTTGTCTCATTGACGACAGCTGAATGGAGAAGAGAAGCAGAAATAAAGTATTTAAAGTAGTAGAGGTGTAAAAGCACACAAAAAAGTAAAGTAAATCTATCAAGAGTTAAGGTTTGAGCAAAAATTATGGAAATTGCAGCACTGATGTCAGCTGAAGGGCAGCACTTATTTTCTATACTAATCAGCATTCAGCATAAGGGCAAAATAATCTCAGCTGTTTTTGTTGCTGCACTCATCGTGCTCCTAGTTGAAAATGTAGACATTTTTAGGAGTGGTTGTTTGAAAAAAGCTAATGTAAAGCGTTTGTATGCGCTTTTGTTTTTGTGTAGGCCTATAAAATAATTGTTAAAGCATTGCACTTTATTAACATACACAATATTTATGTTGAGAACCCCTTGCTGTTGGATGAAGGTACTACTGTACACTGGCTCCCACTTACCTCTTTTTACAGTTAGGTATACTGCAATATATGTATCAAAACCAAGCCTTTTCACTGCACACCAGTATTTCCCCGAGTCTGTCAGCTGGAGCCACCTAAAGGTCACAGTCAAGACCCCATTCCCAGAGTCCTTCAGTGCTATCCTCTCTGACCCCTCACTCCTACCAGACTTCACAGTAACCAGGATATCACCTCTGCCTTTGCAGGAGTTCTTGCAGAGGTATTTATTATTTGACCATGCATTTCTGTGTGAACAGTTGAACGAGACCTCTCCCCTTTCAAATCCCTCTGCAGTAATGTCTGCTCCCACTTTCCACGTCGCTGTGAAAATACACACACAACAAGAGTTGGAGCATATTTGAGATCTTTAAATACATAGATGGATGTTACTCTTTCCTGCACTTACCATGTAAAAGACAGTAGAACACAAAAATAGTCTTCATGCTGATTGAAAAAGTCCCAGCTCTGGAGTTGTAAACCCTTAATGCTCTGTGTACTCAGAGTCTACTATATCTGTGACAGGGTTGAAATGGTTCATCATGCACTACTGCTGCACACCCTCCCACAAATGAAAAAGCATCTTGAGCTCTCTTCATTATCAACCTTCTTCCTGTGGTTATGACAGTGTGAGAGCGGATGATGGCGTCTATAGAAAGCAGACATTAACCCATGAGGCGAGAAACTTGTGGACAAATAATTCTGTCAGATCTTCAGTTTGTGCCCTCCTCTTCACACATGTACACCAATAGGGACCCATTATACGAGGGGCTGTACTACTCTGCTGTTAGAGGCTGCTGGCAACAAAGATTGGAGTGAAGACCTGTGTCCTTACTTTGAAAATGTCAGACATTTAGAATTTTTGTTTACTTTTTCAATTTTCCGCTTGCACTTCATGCGGTTACATTTCAAAGACGGACGTGGTGTTGATGAAAACTTTGCTTAATTGTAAGAGATTGTAAGGTGGGGGGGGGGGGTTTGTTCCTCTACTGAAAGGCGAAGCGAAAAGAACCGTGTCTTGCACTCCCACTAGCTTTCAGTTCTTTCAAGTTCTTGTATTATCATGAGTACAAGTGAATGTCAACCAAAACAAGAATATGAGTTCCATTAGGCCTACATACAATAATACAGACTCATAAATGTTGATGACGCCCAAACTAAAGCCACTTCTCGCCGGTGCCTATTGTTAGAGCAGGGGTGTCCAAAGTGTGGCCCGAGGGCCATTTGCGGCCCTTGAGGGGATTTTTTGCGGCCCGTGACTTCAAATGAAGAATCAGAAGATTTTGGCCCGAGGCCTTGATTAAGATTGACACATTAACTTATTTTCCTTTTTAATGTTAACAAGGGCTGAACAATATTCCTAAAATAGAAAATGTTCAGTAACATGTATGTTGTTGTTTTTTCTTTTTAAATCTACAGCTTTTATTATTTTCCACATTTTTTTGTAAACTATGAAAAAAAACGTATGCAAAGTTTTTGCAAACAAGCGGACTGTTGTTTAACCATTTAATGACCTGAGCCAAATGCAGAAAGCTTTTTCAAAAAGATGAACCACGTTACAGGCTTGATTCTGAGAAAAAAACAAATAAAGTAGAACAAAGAAATCAAAATATTTGATTTCCTTTTATTAAAGAGTTTCTTTAGTGAGCCTTTTGATTCTGATCTACAAAGCCTTACTATTTTTTCAACTATATTTTAAAAAACAAAACCTGAGGCCCGCGAGCGATTCTAACACGACAATTTTGGCCCGCAAGAAAAAAAGTTTGGACACCACTGTGTTAGAGGGTTAAGAAAGTTAACTCCTGCTTCCCTTGGTGGTGACCGTCATAGGTCTGTTCTTAATAAGTCTGTGTGCTTCATATTTTCTCTTACTCTAAGAAAAGATTAAAAAAACAGGTGTAGGACTGGAAATTGTACTGGAAATGACTAGTCTAGTTTATCCTCTGCCATTGTTGTTGAAAAATCTGAAATCAGAATTATTAGTCCTGCCCCGTCTTCATTTTGGTTTGTTGGTGGTAAGTGCGGTAAAAGTTTAACTTCTTTCAACAGAAAGTGAAACAAAAATGATGGACACTGAGGAACTGCATTGGTTTCGTATTGAAAATGGGCGCTTCTCCCCTCTCAAGTTCCCTTATCATAAGGGAACTTGAGAGGGGAGAAGCGCTACAATATAGTGCAAAGTTTCTAATCATGGTGATGGTAACACGTGTGTGTAACGCCCTCTGCAGGTTGAATACTGTAACTATAAGTGTCTCCATCTCTAACAGCAGTAGAAGCACGATCTGATGTTGGAAAGTCCATAAATGGTTTCTGTTTGTGAGGTATTATGATTCATATCATGTTAAATTCATGAGAATATGTGATATCAAAACCTAAGAATTATGTGAAATGTATTGTTAATAAACATGTGTATTTCTAATTTATGTTGGCACATCAAAATGTTCATCAAAACAATGTAAATATATAATTCCTATTTCATAAACAGAAAATCTGCACCTGAACTAATGGAAATACATATACCAATTCCCACTCTTTATTCCATATTGTCATTTTACTCTAACTATAAAATTATCATTAAATATTAGGGCTGCCAAACAATAAACATTTTTAATCATGATTAATTGCAACATTTCAATAGTTAATTATAATGAATCACATTTTAAATGAAATGTAATTATTTTCGTAAAAAAAAAAAAATGTGTGAGGCTTTTATTTAGAATTTTTGTACTGTCTTAAATACTGTCTTTGTACTTTACTTCCTGTTTGAATTCAACCCTGCTATTATTGTGAAATAATGTATGGACCTTCAGGTAGATTGATGTGATGACATTAACTTAACCACGGAAAAAGAAACTCGTTACGCATCAAAACCCAAACTAAACATCTCTAAGGAACGGTAACAAAGGTAAATGTTTGATGACAGAAGGTCGATGTGATTTTGGACTCGTCAGCTGAGCTGTCGGAGAGTTTGTTAAAGTGAAATGAGACATTCAAAGATGCAGCATTGTCGTTCTTTTCCATCACTGTGACGGCTTCACACTGCATAAATTTTAAATAATACAGCGATAAATTTGATGTGGAAGATGTAATACAATAAAGTATTAACCCTGTCAATGCACAAAATTAGATATCCATTGGAGACTGTGTGCTTGAGTCGAAATACATTCAGCCTATTTCCTTTATTTTTTCATTCAAACCACAGAGAAAAAGGTGAGGTTAACCCTCAGATTGGATAAAGATTCAATTTCAATTCAATTCAATTTATTTTGTATAGCGTCAACTCATAACAAGTGTTATCTCAAGACACTTTACTAAAAGCAGGTAAAATACCTTACTCTTTGTCTGTTAACATTACAAAAGAGCAGGTAAAAAGACCTTACTCATTGTTATGTTACAAAAAGCAGGTAAAAGACCTTACTTATTGCTATATTACAAAGATGAAACCCTTCTTAATCCAGACTTTTAGGATCAAGTGCCTCGTCGATGGAAGCGTAAGGAGGAGCATCCTGAGCGCCGGAGTCTGGATCTAAAGACTCCAGCCTCACTACAGCATGAGTCGAGGTAACACCTACATTTTCCTCAAAATGGTCAGCCTGTAAATAAACAGAGAGAACAATAAAGACCTGTTTAATAAGAAGTATTCTTCAATTGATAAAGTAATAATAAGAGATGGACACTAATCAAAATTCAAGCTGACAATCATGGTCGCTCACCTCACTCTTACTTGCTTCGGTTCTTTTCTTATCTCCTGAAACAAGCAACAGGATTAAAATTAATGTCTGAATCTGAAGTAAGGATCAAACTGTGGAGCAAAAGTAAAGCACTGTGTGTCTCTGTGTGTGTGTCTCCCTACCTCTGTTTGTCCGGCAGTTTCCATAGAATATAACAGGGATAACGGCACATACTAGAAGAGCCAGGCTCACAGAAACAATGATGACCACTGTGGTATCTACAGACAACAGAGCCAGACATATATGCTTCAGCTACAACATGTCAGTTACAACAACATCCTTCACAGTTTGACTTTAATCCTCCAACTTTCACATTTCTCTGATTTCCAAATAATAATTAGTGAATAGTGGTCCCTGCATTGTAGAGGTAAGCGTGCAATGACATGTTTATACATTTCTTGTGTACCCACTTCCTCTCAACATGCCATTTACAGTACTTAAATCCTTCTTTATCAGTGCACTCAGATATTGGATTGTGATGCATTCTGCTGAGTTATGGTGGAGAGAAAGAAAGCATCACATTATTTGTTCTGTTTGAGGAGGTTGTTATTCTGTTCTGAAATAGCAACTCAGTTAACCCCTCAGCACCATTGACAATGTGTCCTCTGAGGATTTGAAAAACTAAATAATGATGATGATGATGAATGTATTCAGTACACCTGGTCAAGGCAGAGTGATACACATTGGCAAAAGTTCCAGTGAGGATGTGCAATATATCGCCACTCATTCAATGCCTCTTCTCCAATAAGACTGCTAATCAGTCAGTCAGAACTGCCAGTTACTGTTGAAATTAAATATACCAACATGTTCTTAAATTAGTTTAACCTGCACACTGGATACACATAATTAGCTTCCAGATCAATAGCCTAAAGTAACTTTATGCCCCTCGCATGTTTTATTATCAAGCTTATAGTTGCAATATTGAAAACAGTTTTTTATGTGTTGGGGAATGCTTCAGGTGAGCAGCATCTTAACTGTGGTGTACCTTTGAGTTTGGTTGCTTCTGGTTGGTCAGTCTTTGCCTCTGTAAAGGAGACGATGGATGCTGCTGGTGAAGGTTCAGTGCTGGATGGAAATCTGCCTTGGGGAAGACTTTCTGATTCCGTCAACAGCGTGGTGATTGAGGGAGAAGATCCAGGAGAAACAGTGGAAGCTTTGAGAGGAAATGAATGAGGATGACTGACAGAAAATAGTGTTTGTTGTGTATTTCTATGTGTGTTCATGTAACAATTTATGGTCTTAATGTATAGTGTATACAGCGCATGTAATAATTTCAGAATTCACACAAAACAAAGCCCGTCGGCTAGCTCCTAAACCGTTCTGGAAGTCTGGGTTCATTTCACAGTCCAACACCAGATTTCTATTATGATTTAATATTTGTGTTTGTAAGTTACAGTAATTACATACTTGTGTGAAATGATGCTCACAGTAGTGATTGTGTCGTGTTTATAATATGTAGTTGTTCCTTTCCTTTTTAAAACTTTGATTATTTTAATAATTAATGAATTGTCGTTTCATCAGATAATTGACCATTGGTCTTGGTCCAGGGCCGAAAGGAGGTTGTACTCCTATTATCAGGTTATCAAACATTATCAGCCAAGATTATCGTACCAAAATAAAAATGCAGTTTTTGTCCTGGCCCTCCTCAGTGCACCAGCTCTTTAGCCTTACAGGGTTTCTGAAGGGGTTGAGTTTGCTCAACCAGTCAACATGTGCTTTGAGAACTAATAGAAGCTCTATGATCATCTCACAAGGGGTCCTATGGGGTATACGTCCATTGCCCATTGCTACAACTCATCTGTCCTTATATGACCAGAAGCGAAAGCTTTGTCATCAGCCTCAGTGCAAAGTAAAACATCCCAAAAGGTTGTTGGCCTCCCACAAGTATTGGATCACTATTAGCATTG